TGGACACACATACCAGAACGACTGAAGAGAAGGATGAACACTGTTTTCCAGTCTGCTGTAAAGCATTTGATCTTATCATCATTTGATAATAGGAAAGCTAGCTCATTGCGTTTGGCTTCTTTACCATATGCCCCTGAGTCGAGGCTACGTGCACGTGCTTCAGTGTGAGAACATGCATTACATATTTAGATTTAGCATTATGAGTCGAGCTCTCGTGATTTCAGTCAAGATCTCACATTATTGAACTAGATCTCACATTATAAGTAGAGATCCTGCATTATAAGACCGGAGATTTCGGAAATGTAAGCTGAAATCTCACATTGAAGGACAAGATATCACTTTATAAGTCGAGATCTCGCATTTTTAGTCGAGATTTCGCATCATGAGCCGAGATCAAATTTTCGAAACGGATTTCAATATAAAAAATTAACGTTGAAAAAGAATAACGAAGTTTCGACCGTTTGACGGTCATTTTCAAGTTGAGAAGTAAAAACATGCTCATTGTTTACTTCTCAACTTAAAAATGACCGCGGAACGGTCGACACGTCCTTCATTTGTTCTTTTTTAATGTTAATTTTTATAAGCCGTTTTACTGTCTACCACAAAGCATGTAAATGAGTAAGAGGAAAACAAGAGTGTGGATTCCGGAGGAATGGGAAATGAGAATTTTGGAAAATATTGAAAAAATAACAGAAAAAAAAAAACAGTACAAAACAAAAATATTGAAATGCTTGTGTGTATAATAAAACGTTCGAAACAAGAAGCGATATATTTGTTGAAAATTGTTTTTACGCAGTCTAGTGAATTTAATTTTATTTGCAAACTACACAACACCCTTTATGACTCAGTCGTTCCATTGACTTATAACGATGAGCAATAAGCAGTCAGTCCACGTTTTCTCATGGACCCTTTAGATAGCGATTTTGATGTTGCATTCATACATACTTATTTGTGTGTAAGGTAGAAATGAAAAAAGGAAGTGTGAGCGGCTTTTTGATTAAAATAATACAGTCAACACTGTTGACAGCGCTGATTCTACCTACTATTAACAGCGTTAATTCTACCTATTCGTTTCTTTTCTTTTTTTCCACTCTTCATATTTTTATACTTCCCGTTTTTCCCACTCCATATAGATTACACTCCTCATTTGTCCATTCCGCACTCCGCACTCCCGCACTCCACTCTTGGTACTCCTAAATTTCAACTAACCACGTGCAAATAAATACGTTGATCGGGACCGGGCTTTACACTTGTCCGCTTATATCTCATGTGCCAGAACGGATTGAAGCTTGACACTCTTCATAAATACTGACTGTTCGTAGATAAATCGAATCCATTGATTTTAAAAAGGGGCAAATGTAACGAGGCACAAATAAAATTAATGAATGGCAGTGTGTTCTGTTGTAAACTTCTCACGTGGCCAAAAATAGCTGAATTGACAAAAGAATTTTTGTCTTTAAAACCAAATAAAACAGCATAATAAAATTAACCTCTGTAATTTCAGTAATAGTTATTGTTGCGGGAAATATTAAAACAAAAGGAAGAATTTAATTTCTAGATTCATAATTGCAAAATGTGATCGCGTGACTTCAGCACTGCATTACGCAATCTTAAATAGACAACACCAGGACTTAACATCCCTGCATAATTTGTGTCTGTAATGAACGTTTATTTTTGAAAAGCAGGAGATTATTATAATAATAATCCTCCTTTAATCTCCTCCTTTTCAAAAATAGCAAAAGGGAACTGACTGTTATTTTTGCAATTAAAACACAACAATCGCATACACTTGCGAACTAAAGCTTCGTAACTTTTTTTCCTCCGCATCATGTTCCGTGCATGGTATCACAACTTACTTGAAACTTGCGTCCTTTGTTTTCCAACAGGTTAAAGAAAAATCCATGCTATTATCATATCATAGCCAGGCACTAAAAGATCGAAACTGGCAGATGTTGTTACCGAAAAATATCTAACTGTTCCTTGTAGCGTGAGAGTGCAATATGCAGCGTCACTTTATGTCACCAAGCTTTCAAATGAGAGTGTAAGTCAACATTTCTATTTCCGGTTTGCACCCATTGGCTTTTGGCAAAGGCATAAATAACGGTTTAATTATGATAACAGCCTAATATAAAATAATCCCCTGACGAGTAGTAGTTTTAATCATAAAGCCGCTTTTGAAGACGTTCCGCATCCTTCCTTGTTGATTTTTTAAGGTTAAAATTGGGGGAAAGTGATTAGAAAGGTGGCTCATGCCCACAGGGAATAGATTGCTATTGAAGGGGCTATACATGTCACGCTATTTGCAGTCTTAAAAGAGCCAAATGATTGTATTTTTGCATCAATTGAAATCCGGAGATAATGGTCCAGTTTTGTTATTTTAGATTTTAGCAATTATAGTAGGCATTGACACTGTTTCCTGCCTTCTTTTACTAAACAGATTAATGCAGCAACGGGTAACGAGTAACGGGATAAAAATTCAAGAGGTTAAAAAAATAAATAA